ATTTAACTGATCTTAATTTACCAACCCACATGGATATCTTGAGATATTATTTTTACTTAAGCGAACGTGCTAAAACAGAACAAAAAAAGTTTTCCCATAAATCATTCACTATTCAAGTACAAGATAAGTTGATTGGAATTTTGGAAAAACTTGGTATGGAAATAATGCTGAAAAAAAGTGTATTTAATAAATTGAATAAATTGCTTGACAAGTATCAAGAGCAAATCAAGAGAAGAAACAACACCCAACAATTTACAGAGTATGTAAAATCTTTCGAAACAATTTTTTACATTGGAACATGTAAATGCGATTTGAAGGCAGCTCCATGTGCATGCGGCTGGGTTCCCGAACGCCTCAAAGAGTTCATGCACGATCAACATAATCAGAGAAGACTAACAATGGATGCATTTGTGATGGAAACTGAAGAGCAAGGAGCAACGTCTATGTCATCAATGCCAACATACCAAGATCCCGATGATTCAACATACGCACCGCCACCGGTTCAAGAAGATATGGATAGAAGCACAAGTTCACAATACACAGAGAGATACGATTGTTTTAACTTTGCCTTGGTATGTGACAGATTTGGTGTGCCTGACAGAGTAGCATCAGCATTGGGAACCGCTCTTTTGCAAGATTTTAAAATTAAAGATAAGCATGGGAAACCTCTCATCATGGATAAATCGAAAGTTCGCAGAGAAAAAGAGAAATGCAGACAAGAAGTGCTTCGCAAACGGTTAGATGATACCAATTTGTTAGCGTTTTCATTCGATGGCAGAAAAGATGATACTTTAACGATAGATAAAATTGATGAGACTTCTCATATCATACTAGGATGGTAAAAGAACCTCATCTTGTTATTTTGAGAGAACCCAATTCTGAATTGATTGGTTACGTAAGACTGGAACATGAAACCGCTGAATACAAAACAACCAAATTAAATGGTTTTTTCAACGATAAAAATATATCACTGGATGCATTAATTGGAATATGCACTGACGGTGAGCCAACAAACACTGGCCCACACGGTGGAATCATACGATGATTCGAATTGCTGTTAAAAAGACCATTGCATAGGTTCGTTTGCCTTCTACACTTCACCGAACTTCCGTTTCGGCATTTGTTTGAAGCTTTGGATAAATCAACCAGCACTGGACCAAGATCGGCAACCGGAAAACTGAGCCGTCAAATCGAAACTTGTGAAACTCTTCCGGTAAGTTATTGCTATCACTCATTTATTATAATTGTCAACCATTTTTAATTATTTTATTATTATATATTTTCAGGTGGTGGACGGCTTCCAGAAAATTGAGTTGCAAAATATGCCCCCTGCTCCAGAAAAAATTGAATTTTCCACCGATTCGAAGTACTTATACGACATGGCCCATGCAATTTCTAGCGGCGTGGTTCCGGTGGATCTGGCTAACATCAAACCAGGGAAAATTGTACATTCTCGGTGGCTCACCAAGGCCGCTAGATTATTGCGATTATATGTGACAACGGAAAATCCAGATGCAAATTTAAGAATTCTGGTTGAATTTATAATTAAATGTTATGTGCCAATGTACTTCAATATCAAGTATTACAGCTCTGTCGTGTACGGCAGTGCATTATTTTTCAAGTTCATTGGTTGGTCACGATTTCTAGAACCTCGTTTACGCAAAATTGTCAATCAAGTAATTAAAGATAATTCATATTATGCGCATTCGGAAAATATCTTGTTATCAATGTTGTTTGATGATAGCAAAGAAAAGCGCGACTGTGCCATCAAGAAAATTCTACGCTATCGAACCGATGTTGACGAGCCAATGGAACTTAGAGTTTATAAAAAACCAGATATAAACTTTAATTGCACAAGTTATGGCGACGACACTAGAGAGCCGTGCGAAATTGGCCAGGCTTGAAAGTAAAAAAGACTTCAAACAATAATTTTTTTTAGTTTCTTTTCTATAACTCACTTAAATTAATTTTTTCATTTACATATGTTCTGACTAAATAAATTTCTTAAGAGAAAAAATAGATATTATTATAAATAAATAATAAATATTATTATAAATAAATAAATAAAAATAAAGAAAAAACATAGCCATTTAGCTGATTTTTTCATGTAAAGGCCAAAAATGGTGATTTTTTGAAATGATTGTATGGGGAACCCCCCAGGGGAGTTCCAGGGGGTGTGCCACTGGCATGGGTGGATCGGCCGTTAGCGAGGCTAACGGACAGCAATTCATTTTTATATATAAGATATCTTCTTTTAAAAATGCGCAGGCTCGAAATTGACTTTAGAGCTATGGTCTGGAGGAATTTTTTTCGTAAAATTTAATGAAGAATCCGAATATGCTAGGAACAATGTCGAAAAAAACGATCCATACAAATTGACCCGCCCTAATATATATACACAACAACTTAACCCTCCAAATACCATTCAAAATGTAATTTTTTGTTTTTTAATTTTGGATTTTGGCTCCCATTCCACTAGAAAACACTATACCTAATACACCATTAACATTGTTTCTGAAATATTTCTCTTTATTTTATCTTAAGACTCGATTTTTGGGACATTGGATGTTGAAGCCTAGTGGCCAGATTGAATAAGAAAAGCTTCATTTAAACTCTAATAACTCGTAAACTATCAGCTTTCACAAAAAAATGTATATAACAAAAATGGTTATACTAGTCAATATCTTTACGAAAGTGCAGCATTTAACCCTTTAATGCAGAGTCTGTCAGTCAGGCTTAAATTAAGGCTTAAATTTTAGCCTACAGTCCCTGAAATTAACATGCCTATACCTTGATCTTAAGTTCAGTTATAGTCATTTNTTGTAGCCTAGTGGCCAGATTGAATAAGAAAAGCTTCATTTAAACTCTAATAACTCGTAAACTATCAGCTTTCACAAAAAAATGTATATAACAAAAATGGTTATACTAGTCAATATCTTTACGAAAGTGCAGCATTTAACCCTTTAATGCAGAGTCTGTCAGTCAGGCTTAAATTAAGGCTTAAATTTTAGCCTACAGTCCCTGAAATTAACATGCCTATACCTTGATCTTAAGTTCAGTTATAGTCATTTATTTTATTAAGCATGGAAGGCTCTGTCACCGTTTGTTTCCTTCCTAGAGTTTCTCAAAAAACGTGATTCACATGATATGACGTCACATTATATACATATATGTACATGTTCTAGCAATAGCATTCCTAATGATTGGAATCTAGGTGTGCTCTGCCCAATCCACAAGATATACATAGATTGATGGTAAATGGGACAGTACAGGCTTGGTAGAGAAGGTTCCCATACGACATACGGCGACTGAAGTTTGACAAGCAGATTTCCCCCGATATTCATTCCAGTTTCGCAATCACAGAAAGCCCCTTTCGCAAAGAAAATTAGCTTATTGTTCTTCTAGAGATAGGAAATGCATCTGGAGGCAAAGCCGCACGATCACCTAACAGAGCTCTCGACTACTACATAGTATGAAATTTACTAACGGATAGTGATAGAACTTTTTGGAAAAGTATCGATACCAGTACTCATTAAGAATACTCTAAAAAGGATTGATGCCAGTATTCATATTTGGAAAAAAGTATCGATATTACTCATACTTCCAAGTAGGGATGTTGCGAATGTGAAATTGTCTAGCGGATGTCTAACCGCTAACATCCACAGATGCGAATGCTGATGTCAAGTATTTTTAAGAAACAACTAGGTAAGTAAACTAAGTTATTTAGGTAAATAAAAAATTTGAAAGTTAGTGGTTTTTAATAATGTTTATTTTACTTAGTACTTGAATTTAAAAATTGAAAA